CTTCGGTTTTGGCAACTCGTGTCTGTCAGCCCACTGCCAGAAATTACATGGATTCTCGCGGTCGCAACAAACAAAAAACGGCCTTCCGAAGTTCAGTTTACCGACGTCTTTGACGACTTTCATTCTTGCTAGTCTTTGGTGAGTATCGCACACCGGATGAATTGGTCCATTTGCTCTCCACATTGTCATAGCCGTTTCGAACAACGAGCGGTCCTGATCAGGGCAGAAGAATTCACAACTCTTGGGATTATTTTTGTTGCAAAGCCAAATTTCAAATTTCGGCACGTTTTCTCCCCTCATGTAACTCCTCAGACATTTTTTTTCTTTTCTTCTCATTCTCGACTTCGCTCGCAGCCAATCTGTAATAGTTGTCCAAGCTAACACCGGTTTTCTTCTCGAATTTTCCCTTCCTTTTTGTCATATCTGCAAATATCTCACCCACAAGCATCTGCTTACAGTTCGACAAATAAGCAAAGGTAGGGCCCCGCACTCGTTTAGGAACAACAACACTCAGAATCAATTGTGATTGCATTTGACGCAACAATATATCATACAGGGCATCGTCCCCACGAATAAATTTCGGTATCAAACCCTTTTCAATCAAAATGTTTTCCAAATCTGTAATTTGCCATTCCGCCTTTTCAATAGGTAAACCAACTCCATTCTCACACTCTGTACTCAATCCAAACGATTTACCACTCATCCACGAAGAAACAACCTTTTCCCACTTTGCTTGTTCCATCTCGAGATATTTATGTCCTATATTAAAGCCAGTTTTCTTGCTACGTCGGCATAAACGCGCCTGGGCAATGTCGTAAAGTGCAATGTGTTCAGCCATGTACAACAGTTAATGACTTTTGCTATTCAACCCGGATTAGTGATATTCAAATTTCGTCAGGTTACTAGACGCGTAACCATGCAATTAAGCGTTGTATCCAAGATTGTTTTATTCCAAAGCTAGCGCAATCCACTTGTTTTAATTCCCATACACAGATTTCTACGGCTTCTTGCACAATTTCAGGCTCACAAAAATCACTGACTTTGTAAACTAAAGTCAAGTAAGCCATAATTCGACCAAAATTTGAAGGTTCTAACTCTTGATAGATTACACACAAATTTTCTAGCACGTTTTCTCTTCCAATACGAGATATCATGCTCTCAAATAAACCTCCATGCTTTTCCAAAAGCAATTTTAAATGGAAACGAAAAGTATTCACACTCAATTCAATGTTATTTTTCCTTAAAACACCCATTATTAACCCTTCCGCCATCTTGAAACAAAATGGCGACTAGTCGGAAAGCTCTCGTTGTTTTATCAGCATTGGAGAATCTTCGGAAAATACGTCATCATTATGCAAATTAATTATCGGAAAGCCCTCGTTGTTTTATCATCATCGGAAAATCATCGGAAAAATACGTCATCGATTATGCTAATTAATTTGCATAACTCATGAATTATTAAGGGTGTATTAAGCCCCTCACCTTACTACTCAAGTGAATATAACAAATCCTACACGTTGATTGGTCAAATTTTACGCAATAAGCTGTTATATTCACCCACAAACAAAACAGAAATTTTCAAAATGGCGGCTACACGCTTTGTGGAAGTTTACTGACAAAGAAATAAGTGAAATTAAAATAAATTCAGTCTCAAAAAAGACAAAAGCTTGTGTAAAAATACTGAACAATTATTCGCCTCAAGTTCGGTGATTATCGCGTGGAATATTCACCTCGACTTCGATTCGTCTCGTCTCGGCGAATATTCCCCGATAATCACCTCGCCCTCGGCGAATAATTGTTAAATATTTCACTGTAATTCTTTATTTGGGCCCCCTTTAACTGGGGCCGCATGCAGGACAAATTTCCACGTCCACCCCTCTGGGCGACCTTGATAGCACCTGAAATTACGACCATCTATGACAGCATAGTTTCGTAGTCACATGCTTGCGGCAAATAAAAGGCGGTTTAGGCGTGACAAACCTCTAGAGGAGTTCCAGGGGCATACACCCACAGAAAAATTTGTAATCTAGGCTCTCTATATAAGACCATCGCCTGCAATGTGTGGGAGATTCTATAGAATTTTGAAGATTGCACACTAATTATAAAAGGTTAAATATCATTCACACCATTTACCAAGCTCATAAAGAGATCTTTGGTGGGAGACTTTGTTCATGTGATAAACCTAAAGTATAATATTAGTGCGGACGTTCGATAATTTGGCAGTTATGTCATTTCAATTTCATTCAAATTATTGTCGTATTAATGTTTTGCCGGATTAATACTGTCAAGTGTCAAAACGAATTTTTAGTTCAGTTCTTCTGCTCTTTGCCTCATTTTCGTGCTAATTAACAACCTATACACAGCAAATTTTATCACTGCACATTTTACATTTTATTGCTGCACATTTTACATTTATCACTACAAACTTGTTTGTCGCTGCACACTAAAATTAGGCATGTAACAACTGAGGAGTTACTATCGCACGCAAGGGGAATTTCTGCCGTATGGCCATGAAAAAATATAATTAACAGCCAAAATCAAGATTATATATTGGGTTGAGTTATTCGCATTGCAAGTGAACTAAGACAGACTGTATGTCTGATTTTCACTTTCAAAATCTTTCCAAAGCAAGATCTCGGAATGACTATAGACTTCTGCATGATTGTATACATTTACTTGATATGTACATGATGCTTGGCAAATCAAGATTTTAAACTTTTATGGCTATTCAATCAAGTGCGGCGGCCGGTAAATAAAAACAAAGTGTGTCACATGTAGTCATATCAATACAGACAAAAAGAATCGCGCGCAATTACGAAACTTGTTTTACTTCGTAATATAGTGCTACAACGATGTTCATTCTTTGTTTGGTTTAAAAAATAAAAATCAGATGCTTTGCATATAATATTTTATACTATCTGTGAATTGTGCCCCCCCCCCCCTCCCCCCGTATCGTGTATATCTCCTGTGGTGCAAAATGCTCTAATTTGCATAAATTATGCACGTTCCAGCTTTCGGTTCCTGTATCATTGTATCGCTGTATCGCATTTTAGTAGAAACGCGCGCTTTCATCTCAGTCACTCTGTTTTTTGTAATCTTTGGAAAGATAAGATGGAGTTGTACAATTAATTTATAAACTTGCCTAAGATAAGGATAGTTATGCAGAGTTGTAACAATAGATCGCATCCGGGATATAAATAATAATCTTTATTTATCTATGTTAAATATAGGCCTAAAAGTACAATGGATTTACAGTTTCATTGAAATTACTAAAAAAATATATTAGGACATTATATGCAGATAACTAGAATCTTAAGTATGTATAGACAACTAAAAACTATGTGAGTGCACTTGCACGAGCTAAGAAGGAACGTTTATGTATTTCGGTTCGCGATAATGTGTTTTTGCTACTAATTGTCCGTAAATCATAGGGATTATTTGATTTAAAGAGTCTTGTATGAAAAGGATGGGAAGGGTCATTCATAATCTTCCGCGTTTCACGTTTCAGAAGTTCTTCTCTTCGATCAGAGAGGCTTTGTAGACAGTCATTGTTATAACCAAGAACTCCGGAGGTATAGCGGATCTGGCCGGGTTCGTTCAATTTCATTTACCAGATAAGTTGGAAGGCCACCCCAAACAAGTGAGGCATATTCAAGAATAGATCTAATATTATATTTATAAAGGGTAATAGCTACTTCCACAGGTATAGATTAGCTTTCCTGCATTCTCTTAAGATCTATACTTGACGGTTGGCTTTCTATATAACAGTTTCAACATGATTGTTCCATTTGAGGTTGTTTTGAAGCCACATCCCAAATAGTTTAAATTTGTCCACTCTTTCAACTAGTTCATCACCGATATAAACAGGAGGAGGTTCCAATACTGATTCCGAGAAGCATATCCACATGTCCTTTGTTTTTTTTGACGTTGATATTCATTTTGTTCGACACTGACCAATTTTGGATAATGTCTAGAGCCTGTTAAATGGACATGGCTTATTTCCTCGACTCCAACTGCTTGATCGAGTGTGCAGTCATCGGCATACTTCGAGGTATCGACGGTTAGGTTTGCAGGGATTTCATCCTCTAAATCATCGATGTATACATTAAATAGCATAGGAGAGGTGACCGAGCCCTGCGGAAATCCAGCTGAGCTGGAGCGGATGATGACAACATTTGAAGTAGCTCATTACCTGTTGACTTCTCATGGATAGGAAATCTCGAATCCACAGCTCGCATGCACATTACAATCATATCATATGACACGCAATTTCAGCTGCAGATAGTCAACAGTCAGTTTGATAGCAAATGCGTCTTTGAGCATATAATTAAGTCATATAATGCATATATTCTATGCTGGGTTTTACTTCACCGATCACCGCAAACGGTAAACTTGGGAAATCATTATTCTCAACAAAACAAACGCGTTATTCGCGTTTATTCAAGACTAAAAAACAAGACGCGCTATTACCAACGGTTCAACTAAAGGGTTATCTATATGAAGGATTTTATACGTCGACTAGTATATAATACCGTTAACCACATGCTTGTGAAATCATTATTTTCGGCAATTAAAATATTGTTATGCAAGCAGTAAGCGCGTGTTTAAATATATAATTGCTGCCGCAGCGAGCGAGCCTGAAGCGAGCGAGCAAGGCAGCAGATCCTAATTTTGTTTTGTGGGTCGAAATCAAAATGTTCTATTTGGCGCATTGCATGACGGTACCAGTGAATTTTAACCGTGGTGCAGCGCGGTCAGGCATAAGGCAAACAGGCAATGTGATCATGTTTCATCTTTGGTCTTCTTTTATGGAAAGCCATAGCTGGCTTAAAGTGATCAAATGGCATTTTGTTGGGTGCTTTTAGCATTATACGGCGGTGCTTTTGGCATTATACACGGTGCTTTCGCCATTATACGCGGTGGTTCCAGTATTATACGCGGTGCTTTCACCATTTATATAGGCGATGCTTTTGCAATTATACGCAGTGGTTCGAGCACTATATGCGGTGCTTTTAATATTATACGCGATGCTAGCTTTCATTCAACATTATTTCCATATTCTTTCCATGGCATGTATATGATTTAACGATTGCTTAAATTTGGTATGTGCATGGTTGACAAATGCTTTTTGCCTATGGTTTGCAAGGACAATGACATGCTTTCCTGTGTATATACATGTAAATGAATATAACGCAGCGAATGTGCCAAGCAGTATAAACGCGGCTGAAATACGATATTAAAATCTTAAATGTGCCGTATGATTTAATTATGTTTTAGGATTTACAAATGCTTTGTCATTTGTATTTATACTTGTACTGCATCACAAGGCAGTACGTACTGTAAGTGAAAAAACTCCACATGTGAGATTGTCTGGTATATATTTTTGCTTTCTTTGATAAACACTATTAAACACGACTGGGGACGAGTCAGAGACGCAATGTTAAATGTCACCTGCATGTCATTGTCATTGCCCTTTAACCCCTGGTCTAGTTGGCCGCTTTTGAAAATATTGATCATGACGAACCGCACTGCCTTAATTAAATGCAAACTTTGTGTTTTAAAAACGGGTTAGGATAAAACGCGAATACGGACGGACGGATGAATGACGGACGGACCGGACGTATGACATATATATGTCGTTATATAGTCTGCGCGCAGCCGCGCAGGGTAGTTAGTGCCTTACGTCTTCGCTGGTTGTTATACTTTAAAATAATTTTGTATGTACCGAGAAATCAATATTCCGAGTATATAAATATATAAACTGGGATGTCACACTGATAGCTTGTTTACATTTCCTGGAGCATCGTGAAATCTTATGTTTAACCACGGTGGTTTAACCCATCAGCTGGCAATGCGCCCTTCCCTTGTCGAGCGCCAGAAGATTTTACTCGTCAGTGGTATCTGCCAATGGCTCTTGTTAATTCATCAGCACAGTAATGACCCCTACTTTAGTATTTACCCTGTCCAACGCCAGACGATTTTTAATACTCAGTCAGTGGTAGGGTACTGTCAATAAATGGGGTTAACAAAGATAACAATAATTAGCCTGCATGGCAGGCGGTATTTCCCAGGCTTGCCCAATTTTAGGAACCGCCTGCCATGCAGGCTAAACAATAATAGGATGTTTCTGAAGGACTCGTTCAACACCCTGTAGTTTGTCTTTTGCTGTCAAAGGCAACATTACTGCCCTGTGGGTAACCTAGTACGAGTACATAGTGCGTACAGTTTAAGTAAACAAAGTAACAAGCAAATATTTGGAATTAAGACACTGTCGCAGACTTCTTCTTTTACCGTCACTGTGAAAAGGAGCCCGTAGAAGTGGGGGACAAAATATGCAGATTGATGTGCGTGCTTATTTTTCACCCTGCTCGGTTTCCTTTGTTCTTATCGGGGAATATATTCAATATTCACCTCTAATCAATTTCCGTTTGATAATCCCCTCTAATATTTACCTGTAATGTCTTTGCAGCACAAAAAATGAGAAAAAAACAGCATAACGAAGGCAATATGGCATTAAGAATTATTTCTATTCTGACTCATTAACGCGACCCGCAATGTGAAAATATAAGTACGTTATTTTAAGGCACCTCGGGAATGCAGGCATCTCGACTATACATAGTTCGCGCGATCGCGAAGGATCGGGTCGAAAGAACTCCGGCGAAGCAGCACGTCAAAATCATAGATATAGCAGATCTAGATTGCTAACGCATACCTAGCGCAGGCGGGGCCTACATGATAAATCCAAGAAGGCGGTACCAGAGGGCAAAAAGACTATAGATTCTATTACGAAATTCAAGATTTTTGCATTTTTTGCCGTCGCATTGTATTGAAACTTATTCGGTCAAATTTTATGGTAAAGAGAAACTTACCGCGAAGATTTTGAGCATATATATGATTGAATTGGATGAAAACTCGCAAAATTATCCAGCGATAAAAGTTCGTGTGAAATGGTCAGTTTGTCAGTTGGAGCGTTTTATTGCCAGAAATACTGTGCTATGTTAACATCTAGTCTTGTGAATGGTGTTTTATACTTGCATCTTTCATCATCATCTGCTCTGTCCTCATAATTATGAAAAATGAACTGTTATGTACCCCCACCCCCCTCCTTGCTTGTTAGAGAAGTAAACTGATGAGAGCACTGGATAAGGGTCTATCATCTATGGTCTGTTATAATTTGCTTTCTATGCAAATAGTGAGCAAAAATTAAAGCAAAACTGTACAAGTTACATATATAGTACTATATCAGTACTATACACGAACTTTTATCGCTGGATAATTCATGCGAGTTTTCATCCAATTCAATCATAAATATGCTCAAAATCTTCGCGGTAAGTTTCTCTTTACCATAAAATTTGACCGAATAAGTTTCAAAACAATGCGACGGCAAAAAATGCAAAAATCTTGATTTTCGTAATAGAATCTATAGTCTTTTTGCCCTCTTGTACCGCCATCTTGGATTTATCATGTAGGCCCCGCCTGCGCTAGGTATGCGTTAGCAATCTAGATCTCCTATATCTATGTTCAAAATAATAATAATATTAAATATTAATGCAGCTATAATGCAGTCTTAATTGTTTTCAAGTTCACCAGATTGTCTTACATTTAAATTAATTAGTAGTTTTGTTCCCATACGCAGGGGCGGTGCTAGAGGGGTGAGTGAAACACACACACCCCTCGCAGTCGTCAGGTACAGTCGGCAAATCAGATTGATTTGATTCCCAGTCGGCAAGTTATTTTCATAGTCGGCAACATATGAATTGGATAGGGAAAAAACTAAAATTAGTATTTGAGTGATAGCTATAACTAATTATGACCAAGAATTTTAGGAAAAGAAATATTAATTAGTAGTTGTATTGACTCGGCAAAATTTACTTAATTAATTAATTAATGACTCGGCCAAACAACCCGCCACCCACTTTTTGGGAAACCATTTTGACAAAGAAGATTAATATAGCAGTCCTTTAGTATAATCGCGTTACCAGTAACAAGATATAGGCGGCTTTAAAATCAACAACTCAATCACGAGAACCAGGAGGTAAATTACTTTCTTGAAGGGTGTTATAATCAGACAATTGCATATTTCAAGAATCGAACCCTGGGGGTAAAAGTAATATGCACCGACATCATCGCAGAGATTAACAGCAAATGAATTTTATGCCTTTTACTGCACCTTAGGAAGAACAGTGAAGTGATAAGGCAGTCAGTATAATAAAATTAGTTTAGTAATCACAATGGCCAAGACTGTATGTTGAACAAAATTTGTTATGGGAATTAAACACTTCATGTTCGCAGATTAACGCAGTGATTATTTTAAAGGTCATTAACAACATGCAATATCGCAGTATAAATACGTCAAATGTATAATTGCGTGTATGTAGTAGTACACTTTACGATTTGAGGTAATACAACCGAATCCAAACGAGAATAAAAATCAAGAAAATCAAGAATCCAACCGAGGTAAATTGAGGTAATACAAATAAGAATCCATTAACCGAGGTAAAAGTTACATGCACCGACATGCACTGCAGGCGCCAGTATGTAGTCGTTGTTGACGTTATTGATCATGGGCTGCGGAGGGATGTGTACATTGGGTTGTTTGTGGCGCAATGTGCATCCGCCTTTAACCTGAGTTTTCTGATTATTAATTTTGTCTCAGTCACATGTGAGAAGAATCAAGATTGTCTTCACTTTGGCTCTACCAAACACTGCTGGTTTTCACGTTGTTTATATATCCTCAAAGCGACAAATTCTATTTTTTGACTCGAGCGCATATAGAATGTTCGAGGATTATCCGGTTGCACAATGAAATTACTTAGTTCGGCAAAAGATACCTAAGTTGCCTCCTGTGTAGTAACAGCAGAACAAAAGGGACTTACCTCAAATAAACCTCTAGGTCTAGGAAGTACAGTTTACAACTGTAAGATAAACTGGGTTACAGTTATTTAGTTTGTGATTCCTCATGTATACTAACACTGGATAAATAACAGTTTACTGAGTTTAGTGAATAACAGTATAGCAGTAACAGTTTAGCAGTAACAGAGCAATCATTACAATAAAATTAGTTTAGTAGTCGTAATTTGATTGCCAAGACTATAATATTTTATTTGATCAAAATTTCTTATACTGAGGAAATA